ATTTTGTCTTTGTGGGTTTTCTTCAGGTGGAAGGAAAAGGGAATGGAATCAAGACGGTCATCGTCAACATGGTCGATGTTGCAAAGGCGCTGAACAGGCCTCCAACATGTGCGTTGCTTGATTTTCATTTGTAAAGAGTTTGGCTCCGAATGCACGTCGTCCAGACTGGAGGCCAACATACGTGGACGACTTTAAAGCCCAAAGACGAAAGATCGGCACATCACAAAGCACCTCCCAAAAAATGTTTGACTCATTCAATGTCAGCCATATTCAAACCTTTTTTTATCCTACAATGCGAAGGGGAAAAAAAAACAAACAGTTTAAAAATGCAATCATGAAAAACGTCTTTGGCATTGAATGAGCTTTAATACTGTGGAAGAAGAACACTCCAACGCCATTTGCGGCCCCCAACCCCAACAAAAATTAAAAGAACGTATTTGCGGGTGCTGAACGGCTTCCCTATTGAAGGAGAGAAAGTGGAGTCAAGAGAAAAAGCACGGAACTGAAACAATCAGAGTGTTTGACTTTTTGCCTTTTGTCTCTTGGGCAGACCCGACCAAGTTTTTTGGCTGTGAACTCGGCGCTCAAACCCAGTTCGATACAAAAAATGACCGTTACATCGTCAACGGCTCGCACGAGGCCAACAAGCTGCAGGACATGCTGGACGGGTTCATCAGAAAGTTTGTGCTGTGCGCCGAGTGCGACAACCCAGAAACCGACCTGGTAAACGATCGGCCCAGCTCGCGCGCTGCGACCGCCGCTCCCAAAAAAATCAACTTGTATCCCCCCCCCCTCACAGAACGTGAATCCCAAGAAGCAAACCATCGGCACGTCCTGCAAGGCGTGCGGCTACCGCGGCATGCTTGACACCAGGCACAAACTCTGCACCTTCATCCTCAAAAACCCACCAGGTGAGACCATCCGCTTGGAATCCGCGCCGCTGACCACGTTTGAACTCCAAAGCTGCTTCTCCTGCGCCAGAGGCCAGCGACACCGGATCCACCACCGCCAAGAAGGAGAAAGAGAAGAAGAACCGCAAGAAGGACAAAGAGAACGGCTCCGGAAGCGGAGAGGCAGGAAACCAGGAGAACTTTGACGCTCCCGACGCCGTGGTGCGTTCGCCGTCCTTCCCGGGGTGGGGCGGGGGCGCTTTCGCGTCTCTCGCTCACGTCTCCGCGCGTTTCAGGATGGAGACGACGACGATGAGGACTGGGGGGAGGAGACCACCAAGGAGGCTCAGAGGAGGCGAATGGAGGAGATCAGCGACCACGCCAAGAACTTGACGCTCAGCGAGGATCTGGAGAAACCTCTGGAGGAGAGAGTCAACCTCTTCTACAACTTTGTCAAAGTCAGTCTCGTCCTCGTTGCCCCTTTTTTATTTTGTATTCCACAAGGCCGCCGCTTTCGTGGATTCGGACAATTTTAAGTTAAAAACTTACCAAATGAGTCGATTTGCTAATTGATAGTGGTTATTAATTAATTGTTGCACCCCAGCCAACGACAAGTCCTGTCACTAAATGAGGACACACTGGGAATCGTGGTTCGTGTACATGCGTTCATTGCGCCTTTTTTTTTTTTAATCCTCTTGGGCACATTGTTGAAATTTATTGTAAAAAAATAAATAAATAAAAATACAATACAAATATTCAAGTACTACACACGGCGCATTTTTACATTAAAAAAAAAAGTAAATACTTGATGACTTAATAAAAATGGGATGCGTCACCGCAGCTCGATGGGTGGAAGTTGGAGAGGCAATAAAACAGGCCAAAATATCGTTGTGGGTGGGTGGGGGGGGGTGTGTTGAGGCAGAAAGAAGTACTGGCGCACCAATCATGCATGCGCTAGAACCTGCTGACTTGTCAGAACACAAACTTGCCTTCAGCACACCACTGCTATATGAATCAGGCGTAGAAAGTCTCAACCCGGAACGCTTTTATTTTGTGAAGCCACGCCAGAGCCGCTTGGAGAAAAAAAAAAACGCCATCTGATGCCTGTCATTGTCGCCGTCACGCTTAGCAAAGGAAGGAGAGCGGCGCGGTGGACGCGGCCGACAAGGAGATCCTGGCCGAGGCCGAGCGTCTGGACGTGAAGGCCATGGGCCCGCTCATCCTCAGCGAGCTGCTCTTTGACGAGAACATCCGCGAGCAGCTCAAGAAGTACAAGCGACACTTCCTGCGGGTGCGTCCGAACCTCGCTCGCCTTTCGCCGCCTCGGATTGAGCCGTGCTGTGACATGAGTGTTTCATAAAGAAAATGTCTTTCGCTGCCGTTGGGCGCTTCAAGGAGCGACTTCAGGGCTGCATTTTTAAAAAGATGCCAGCTTCAATCTACATGGCTTAAATCAAATGTTTGGTTCTGCGGTGACCCGAGATTGGTCTGAAATGCTCTATGCAGGAACAACGGTGAACTTGAGCAAGCTTCATGATGAATTCGGGCTTATGGTTTTGTTTTTTTGCTTTTTTTTGTAGTTCTGCCACAACAACAAGAAGGCCCAGAAGTACCTGCTGGGAGGCTTTGAGTGCGTGGTGAAATTGCACCAAGTGCAGCTGCTGCAGAGAGTTCCTATCATCCTCAAAGACTTGTACGACGCCGACCTCCTGGAGGAGGACGTCATCTTCGCCTGGGCCGAGAAGGTGATGGCGCCAGCGCAGGTTTCCTTCATCGCCACACCGAGCTCACCTTGTCGATTTTTTTTTTTTTGTTTGTTTGTTTGGCTGCCTGCAGGTTTCCAAGAAGTACGTCTCCAAGGAGCTGGCCAAAGAGATCCACGCCAAGGCGGCGCCGTTCATCAAGTGGCTGAAGGAGGCCGAGGAGGAGAGCGAGGGCAGCGACCAGGACGACGAGGAGGATGACGAGAACGTCGAGGTAATGGCGTCGCCGTGCGCTCGCTCGCGTTGGGTTGAATTCATGCACTGCCACCGATGACGGCCAAAGTCCAACAAGATCCGGTGGGCACGGTTAGGTGCCTTTGCATCCCCCCCAACTATGTTGCTCTCTCAAGACGCTCTGATTAAAGTCTTTGTGTATTCAAAGTTCATTTTATATGTTGTATTCAGTCAACAATTCAATGCCAAATGGCGAATCAAATTACGCTTTGGAAATTGTCACATTTGAATCAATGCTCAAGGTAAAAATGTATGCGAGTTTCATTCATTTGAAGTGCATTTACAAAATCTTGCATAGAAGCCCTTAGAAAAAAAAAATCATGAAATGTATTTTCATGTGGTATCAAGTTTTGTAAGCTTTGCCCCGCCCTCTGCCCAACAGGTGGTTTATTCCTCTTCGGCCCGCGAGCTTAAAGTGGAGACGGTGAAAATGGAAAAGCCGGAAAAGGAAGATGAAGACATTGATATCGATGCTATCTGAGATGCTCAGAGAATAATCTTAATGAAAATGATTCTTTCTTGTTTTTTTTTTGTGGCTTTGACTCACGATTTTGAAATGGCTGAACTCATGAAATCTTGCCACCCTGTCAACAACACCCTACTCACCCCCGACCCCACCCCTTGCTTTGAGGCATGTTCACGTAACCTAGCGCCCTAAGCTAACCGACTGCACAGCCACTCTTACGTCACGCCGGCGCGCGTCCGAGCCTTGAAATATGACGGGGCGGATTTGAATCGGGCCTGTTTTTTGGGGGTCATTGCGGTGCACTTTTTTTTGGTCCCTCGTATTTTTCCAGTCAATAAAGAAAATGAATGTTTTGCTATCCACAACCACTGCGTTCACTGACTGCTTACTAGTTGCCCAGGAGGAAAGCCGCACACTAGGAAGTGAAATATTTTGCATGATGGAAATACTGGATGACATATTTACCGACTGAAAAGTGTAGACAAAAAATGTTGTTTTTTTTTTTTTTTTTTTACTTTGGATTAATTTTTTTTTATATCTTGATTACATTTTCAGGGAAATATCTTTATTCTCTTGCCAAAGACATCTGTGGCCACCAATGGGGGGTGCACGAGCTCGCTGGTTGCATGCTCATACGCCCCCTTCAGTGTGGAGGTTGGGTTCCTGTGTGCCCCCCCCCCCTCACCCTTTGTCTGCAGTTTAAATCGATCAGCAAAAGTAAATGTAACAAAAATTAAACCCACAAGCCTGGCTATGCAAAGTTAGAATGCTTGGGAGATGATGACACTTCCTCATAGCCGTGCAGGAGTTTTACCAGTAGATGGTGCTGTTGCTCTGTTGTGCTTTTTTTTTTCTGAAGGGATTGTGCAAATTCAGTTTGCAGACTGCCACACTTGGAACCTACTAATGTATTTGATCAGGGTCTATGTAATAATGCCCATTATTGTATTCGAAATGATTAAGGCCAATGCCAGACGCGTGAAATTGAACATTTTTCGGTACAGTGGGCCACCACATACCCCCCCCCCCCAAAAAAAAAATCACGTCTTGCTGAACGTTACTCTTAATTCATAAATATTTCTAAATGCATTACCATGCTGCATATTTTTTGTATTAAAAGCTCGTGCTGGGCATATTTGGAAATGGGGCGCACACAAAAAATCACCTAGAAAAGTTTCTGTACATCTCTGATTAAAACGTAAAAAATGTATTGAGCAGTATAACTTTTTTTTTTTCCCTCTTAATGTGCGTGTGAGGCTCTGCTTCCCCCGACTGCACGTTCCTGTAAAATCACATCACAACACGACACTATTGTACTGTGTGAACATTAGTTTATCCCCGGGCCTTCTTCGACACCCTGTGCTCGTCTGTACTGATCCCGCATGTAAAATAACACACACTTGTGGTGTTGGAAGCTTGAGGTAAGCGTTGACAGAGCACAGGAGTTTGACTAGCGAGCGGGAGCCAGAAGGTCAGCCAGTTTGCTGACTTCCGCTTGAGGACCTCCGCCCCTCCCGTTCAGCTGGTTCACAGCGATGCTCCATTCAGGTGCCGTCGGAAATGAACCGTGGTGACTGCTTCAACGGTTCACGGTGAGCGCTTGTACTTAGGACGGTTTCTTCAATGGGATGCTGACAAGCACGTTGACACAACACAGCCCAGTCCAATACCCAAATATTAATGCCTAATCCCAGTTTTAAAATCTCACTGTTTTTATTTTATTTGGAAACTTTGGCGAGTTTGGGGAATTAAAAAGTTCCCGAAACGAATCGGGTGGGGAATTTACGTTGAAATGATTTGAAGGGGTCAGGACAAGGGTTGTAATTGTTGGCCATTTTTCACTGCGGTTAGTTTTTATTTCATTTTGACATTCAGTTTCAATTATTTTTTAGAGACAAGACTGTTAGGTTGTACTGTTGTGAAAATGCTTCGTTTTGTTTTAAAATCTCACTGTTTTTATTTTATTTGGAAACTTTGGCGAGTTTGGGGAATTAAAAAGTTCCCGAAACGAATCGGGTGGGGAATTTACGTTGAAATGATTTGAAGGGGTCAGGACAAGGGTTGTAATTGTTGGCCATTTTTCACTGCGGTTAGTTTTTATTTCATTTTGACATTCAGTTTCAATTATTTTTTAGAGACAAGACTGTTAGGTTGTACTGTTGTGAAAATGCTTCGTTTTAGTTTCGTTTTTATTGGTTTTAGTGTTTAATATGGTGTTTACGAAAACTGCTTTGTCGGAGCCCGGGCGAGGTCCTTAAACGCCTCGTAATCCAGCCCAGCCGCCGAGCACTCGTAGCCATTTTGGTCGCACCTAAATCATCCCATCGAGCTCCTCGTCCACTTTGGGCGGCCCGCCATGGACCGAACCGAGCCGACGGCGAGGATTTATACCGTTGAACCCGTTTGAATCCCTTCCGCCCGACGACATACCGCCGCCGCCTGGCATTGGAGGACATGACTCGTCGCTGCTAGGCTGACTTGAGAGCGGAAAAAAAACCGGGGCGTTTTTTGGGGCTTTTTTTTTTTTTTTTTGGAAGTGGTGACCGAGCAGCGCCTCCGTCAACGTTGGCCGAGTTCACTTCGCTCCGACGGGCCCCGGGAAGACTTGGTATAACGAGCGTTTTGCTTTTTTTGCCCCTTGTGAGCAACTCCAAAGTGTTGCTTCACCACTTGGTCGGAGATCCATGCGACTGTGGCCCTCTTCCGCCGCCGCGGGATCGAACGAGGTGTCACCGGATCGCGGGCTGCTTGCCGTCGCTTGAAACATCATGTCCACCAAAAGCCCTTTGCCCACCGTCAACGAGAAGGCCACCGAGAGTGTGAGTAGCCGTTTGTGATGCGAGGACTCTCTTTGCACCTATTTTATTGCGTTTATCGGACGGAATCCTCACGTATTGTTCTTTCGCACACATTTCGTAAACAAATCGGCTTCCTCTTCGGCCTGCCCAAAGTGGCCCCCCATTCCTGTTCGGTGTGTACTCTTTGCGTGTTTTTTGGGGGGAGGGGGTGTTGTCACAGTTATCCTGGCGGTATGCCGGTGTCAAGTTTTGGAGCGCTCGTTGCTTATTTGGGACGCGTTGGGAGCACTTTAGGCCCCAGACGAACAAAACTACAAGACACTACTTTGCCTGTTGGCTTGGCAGGAGACAGAGAAGATTGTGTTCTGGCTTCCGATTGGCTACGTGGTCTGTCAATCAGGGGCCTCGACCAGTCGGATTCGGAAGACGAACGTCTGAATCGAGCCCACTGGTGACCAACAGAAAGCACCCTGCCTGACTCACTGCTCAAAACAAGCGCGACACGTCTTCGCACGCACTTCCGACCTGGCTTGTCAGAATAAAACGCTTTGTATTTATTTTAAGAATACATTTTCTTGAAATTACAGTGTTATTTTTTTGATGATATCTATGTTTTTGAGCATTAAAGGAACAGGTATTAGCAATTTACACACAAGTGCTTTAAATCCTGGCACTGGTGATGAAAATATGCAACAGTATTGGCCAATAAATGAAGCGTATAGTTTCTGAACCACATGTGGAATCCGAAGCATTACCGCTTAAATAAAAAGATGAGCCAGAAATGAAATTCCAGGAGCTTTTGAGTCCGTGCCGTTTGTCATTCCTGATAAGCCAAGTTTCCAATCGGAAGTGCTGCAGAAGCCACCTTAAATTCCAGGGTACATTTTTGGTCTACATGTCATTTCTGGAGCTGCTTTAAAGTCCAGGTGCTATCTCACTTTTTGGCTCCTGGTAAGTGACGTGCGGCTAAATTTAGCCAATAGTTCCTGCATCCGATTGTGCAATGGCCCTCCGAAACGTCATCGTTTCAGGATAGCGTTCCTGTGGTGCACAAAGACTTCTGTTTAAATTGATCACAGCTGATGGTTCTGTTGGACTCTGAAAAGGTTTCAGCTACCTTTGGGTGTTAAACTGCTTCAAGAAAACGTGTCAAGTGTTAGCCTCATAATAGCAGAATGACTTCAATCATTTTTTCGCATTTTTGGCCTTGATTACATTTTGATTGATGATCTATGCAGACGTGAAGGCAAAACAAAACACGGAGTTATTTATTTTATTTTTTAAAATGTCTTTTGGCAGTAAGTGAAAAATAACGGAAGCAATTACGCTATTAGTTATAAGTGGTTATAGTTGCTGATTCCATAATTGCGCGGTTTGGAAACTGCGCGACGCAGTAGAGGAAGGTGCGCCGTACGTCTGCGACGCGTCTTTTTCCTTTGTGCCAGACATTTACAACCCCCACCCCCCTGCCCCCCATCAGGAGGATCCAGATTATTTCTCAATCGGGAACTTTCAACGGGAATGACAGGAAGTGGTCGCCTTCAAGCTGAAATAGAAACATTGAGTTTTGGTCGATGCAGATGTCCCTGCAAAATGGAAAGCTCTCCTTGCCCACAAGGGAGAGCATTTCTGTACTTTAGCTGTTGCCCAATGTAATTGATTCAAAAAAAATTAAAAATTAAAAATACTGGATTGCGACAACCCTAAAGGCATCCCCTCGGTTACGCCGCCTTCTGTCCCCGCAGTCTGTGATTGGCCAGTTTGATTCAGGACGTGATGCGTTCAGAAACAATTAATTAATTAGAAAATTCAATTAGAGGCATGAGATGGGGGGCCAGCGGGAGCCGATCTTCCTCACAAAGACAAAACAAAACACTGGCTGCCCTGGAAAAAAATGAAAAATTTTCCAAGATGACGGCCAATCAAAGTCATACTTTTATTCTGAAAGGCCACTTTACCACCACAGTTGACAGCCTGTCGCTGGCTTGATGCACAGAGATAATTAGGACCCCCAACCACCCCCCTCCTACCTCCCTCCCTCCTTCCTGGCCTGGCCTGCACTATTTATCTGTGGGGAAGTTGAGAGCAGAGTCGAAGAAGTTGGCGGCGGTCGTGGACGTCGGGTCATGGTCAGTCGTTCAGCGACATGACGGGCTGACGCGCGTCCAGGAGGCACTGCGGCCTCGTGAGTTAAAAAAAACACAAAAAAAAAAAGATGCCGGCCAGACTAAAATGTCGCCTAAAATGATGTTTGTGTATTAATTGGTTATTTAGTGAACCGACATGTTCAGCACTTGCAGACCCAAAGACTCTCCAGGACTCTCAGCGCTCCTCAAAATTCCGTGTGGCGGGGTCACGTTTCCGCACGGACTGACCTCCATCCGGTTTTTACTTTGTCCCAGAAAAATCAATGTGTGGTGAGAACTGCCGCCGGCAGCCACGGTCACACGACCGCTCAGACACGCAAGCACACTAATCAGGTTGACTTCCACAACAACGCTCCCAATTCTCACACCCGCTCACCCGTTTGTGTTGGCGACTTTGGTCCGATTGGATTGCTTTTTCAATCGCCCTCCCATTAGCGATTTGAACGTTATTTCGAGACAAGGTTGCGCTGTTGTCTTGGGCAGCAAGAGTTTGTGACGGCAATTACCGACGCCCCAAACACAGGCTGGGAAACGAGTCAAGTCAGCTCCTACGCCGCGACACGCTGCCGGCGTAACGACTTCAAAATAAAAGCGTAACTAAGCTCTGATGTCCCTCTACGGTATTATTTGGGAACTCCTTGCCATCGTTAACTCGCACCGGCTGTCACAGAAATAATAGTCACGATCATCCCCGTTTTGCCGGCGTTGTGGATTAACGGCGGACGCGTTGGCTCCCTTCCCCGCAGCACACGTCCTCTCACGGCAATGGCCGACAGGAAGTCGCCGGCTCGCGCTCGTCCCGCTCGGGGTTGCGCTCGCGCAGCTCCGAAGAGCCGCAGCAGCCGCACGTGGGCAACTACCGCCTGCTCAAGACCATCGGCAAGGGCAACTTCGCCAAGGTCAAGTTGGCTCGTCACATCCTCACCGGCAGAGAGGTAAGCGCAAACACTCCCGCGGCCTTCTTTAGCCTCATCCGACGTCAATCAAATGGAGGTTGTCCCCCACGACCGCCTCTTCACGATTGTCATCCTTCTTGTCATGAAATGGCGACTGCGGCCACGACAATTCGCGCCGTCTCAGGGTGTCGCCAACGTTTTGTTTTCTTTTTGTCTTTCCACACGTGAATTTCTTTCCTTTCTTGTTGCTTTCTGCGCTGCAGGTGGCCATTAAAATCATCGACAAGACGCAGCTCAACCCCAACAGTCTTCAGAAGGTAATGAGCCGACAGCGAGAGGGAGGGGCCTTCGTTTCGGAATAACGGAGCTGCAATGAATGTCGTTATTTGCCTTCACTCTGTGGCGGTCATGGCGATGATCGCGTTAGATGTCCGGTCACCACGTGTCTGCCGCGGTGCCAACCCCCGCTACCGGGGACGGCGCCATGCCGTGGCCCCGCCCCCCTTCCGGTGGCCCCGCTTTCCCCTCGGCCAGCCCGCCGGTGGTTTTCCATCAGTTTTTCCCAAGCCTCAACCCCAACAGTCTTCAGAAGGTAATGAGCCGACAGCGAGAGGGAGGGGCCTTCGTTTCGGAATAACGGAGCTGCAATGAATGTCGTTATTTGCCTTCACTCTGTGGCGGTCATGGCGATGATCGCGTTAGATGTCCGGTCACCTCGTGTCTGCCGCGCCGCCACCCCCGCTACCGGGGACGGCGCCATGCCGTGGCCCCGCCCCCCTTCCGGTGGCCCCGCTTTCCCCTCGGCCAGCCCGCCGGTGGTTTTCCATCAGTTTTTCCAAAGCGCCATTGATTTGGAACCGTTTGTGTGTCAGAGCCCCCCCCCAAAAAAAAAACGCACACAAGCATGGCAGCGGAGCGCATGACATCCACACAAAACGCCGGGATGCTTGATTTTCCTCCTGTGTTTATTTTAAGAAGTCGGCGCCGTCTTGAAAGACTTGAAAAGGTGAAATCGCTCTCACGCGCGGCTATAAATACGCACGAGTTGCGCCCTCCTCATCGTGGCGCGTCGGGCTGATGAAGAGTTGACAAATCCCCGAGAGAGAGAGAGAGAGAGAGACCGGCGTCACCGCAGATTGAAGCCGCCTGCACGCTAATCCCCTGGATTGGACCTTTTGTTCACATCTGCTGCGCTCCCTGAAAATTGCGGCCTGACTTCATCCCGCTCATTTGGTGTCTGTACGTGAGAAAAAGACGCAAAAAAAAAAAATTGTGGGGGGGGGGTCACACCAGCACACATTTGCACACGACACGCCACCAAATATAACCCCCCAGGTGCCAGAATCTGTCAGCCAGGCAAATAGTTGGTTTTGAAATCAATGATTGGTTGTTTTTAAAAATAGTCGTTTCAATCTCAATCCAAAACAGTCGTGATTATTACTTTGACCATAATCGGCCGGCCAGCCCTCGGCCGGATTACTGATGACTTCCCTGTTTTGTGCGCTCAACAATTGGAGGATGTCCTGTGCGGGTGCAGCGGCGTTGTCTTATCACCCGTCCGTCTCTTCCAATGTTGCTTCTCAACACCCGGGCAAAAAAATTTGAAACCCTCGCTGCGGCTTCCCCTCTGTTCCCTCTCGCACGCCGACGGCGAGCTGGCTTTGACCGGCGGTGTCAAGTGAAGAGCAACCTCCGGTGGTGTGCAAAAAAAAAAAAGAAAAGGGGGGCGGGGGGGCTTTGGTGTGATTGTCGCAGTGGGATTAAAATCAGCAATTCGCGTCACCCTCATCCTCCAAACATTCTGGAGGAGGTCTTGCGTCCTGGATCCCATACATATCGAGACCATACAAGTTGTTTTTTTTTTTTTTGTTTTTTTTTATGCACCCAAAAAAAAAAACCTTGAAATTGAATCGCGGAGCGTTCATGCCGCTCACTTTGTCTTTGCTTTTCAGCTCTTCAGAGAAGTCCGAATAATGAAGATCTTGAATCATCCCAACATTGGTAAGGGCGCCTCTGACGCACGTCCGCTTTTCCACTCCTCCTCCATGTTTTTGTACTAAAAAAAAAAGAACCGCAAAGAAAGAAAATCCGGTCCGAAGTGACACTGTAACACGCTCTGTCGTTACGAGCAGCGCGATGATCGTTTGACTCACTCGGTTTGAGGATGATTCTGATATTTGGCAGGATAAAATTCCAATATCTAATTAATTGGACCATTCATTAAAAAAAAGTACTGGCTGCTTTTTTTGGGGGGGGGGCGGAGCATCTAGGCAGAGCACAATGTGATTGGCTGCTGGCATATGCGAGTAAACAAGCCGCATCTTTCAAATTGGTTGTCTCCAACTTTTTTTTTTTTTCTTCTCTCTCCGCGAGCAGTTACGCACCAAGGAGGGAGCGTGCTAGACACCCCAAAAATGGAAAAAAGAAGAGAAAAAAAATCAAAATATGGTGCCAGCGGGCATTAGTTAGCCCCAAGGACAGCACGAGTCGCCCACTGCTCTGTTCTAAAAATAGCTCACCGGCGATGGGACACTGCGACTTACGGATCAAAACGGAGAATGTTACCGTGTATTTATTTAAGCTTATTTCGAACGTTTTCTTCTATTTAATATTTTTATTGAATAGATTGCGTTCAACATGGGGGGGAACCTCAATATTATTTTGATGGACCGAAAAAGTTTATTTTGGAGCTGCTGTACATTCTCTGCTTGCTCGTCTTCCATTTCCACCCTGGAGTCTATTTCTAGCCGCTCTCCCGCCCGTTCATGTCCGCGCGCGCACTCAAGCTATGTGCCCTGTGGTTGTGCCTCCCGGCAGTCAAGCTGTTTGAGGTGATCGAGACGGAGAGGACGCTCTACCTGGTCATGGAGTACGCCAGCGGAGGTGAGCGCGAATTCACTCGGAAGTCCCGTCAAGTCTTTTGCGAGCGTCGCTCTTCGGAACGCTTCCCTCATCGCATGCGCCCGCACGCTCGCCCCATCGATTAGCGGGGGAAGGTCGCGTCGGGCGCAGCCAATGCGATTATCTCCCGAGGCGACGGCCCGCTCTGATCGCGTTACTCGGACGTCAAGTCAATAGGAGCGTTGGCTCCCATTGGACTTGGGACGCCGGCTCCTCTGTGGCATTGAAATGAGACCATTACCCCGTTCGGACGAGTCGACTGGTCTGTGCGAACCCGCGTCGCTCGCCGCGTCCAACTTGTGCTTTTTCTTCGCCCTTGGAACTCCTTGGAACAGGTTTTTGTGATTAAAAAGGGGGGGGGGGCGGAGCGGGATAAATCATTTACAGGTAATGAAGTTGCATAAGTGTGCACACCCTTCAGCAGCGTGGCTTTAGAATAGGCCCCTCGCTGGCAATTATTTTAATAGATGTATCAATTTATTCATTGGATACATGGATGAATCGGATCAAAACATTAAAAAGAAAAAATTCCTTGTGCCAAAACTGCGCAAACATAAATTGATGATGATCCACGAAGCAGTTTTGGTCTGTAACATGGAGTCTTATCAAAGTAAAAGCAGACCTTTGTCTTATTGGACAACTTTGACTTTAAAATGCTCTCGCTGATTCATCAGGAGTCGAAGGAGTGGAAATGAATTTGTTCATCGGTTCACGGGCGACTAATCGTTGCACGTAGAGTTCAGAATTAGCCACTCGCTTTTAGACTCGTTTTAAACGGGAGTCAGCCCGCCATTAAAAATGCCTCCGACTAACCCGGGTCAAAGTCGAGCTGTTTTAGTCGCGGGGCGGGTATTTATTCTGAATGTATTTCTGAAGTCGATTGGCTCACGTTTGTCAGCCGCAGCTTGTGCCCTTTCGGGGAGGCTCCACGTGCGGCAAACGCACGCTGCTGCTGCCATCTTGTCCTCATCTGCGTTTCCTGTGTGCTGCTGCTTGTAGGAGAGGTCTTCGACTACCTGGTAGCGCATGGAAGAATGAAGGAAAAAGAAGCCAGAGCTAAATTTCGACAGGTACGTGCCGCCTCCGAGTGTTCTGCTTTGGCACCTCTGCGCCAGGCGGGGCGCCGCCGTCAGCAGCCCCAATCAAGCGCCGCTGAAGTCAACCTCTGAGGAGACCCTGTTGATTAAAATTTTTTTTTTTAAATGACAGCACGACTGTGAAGGGCTCATTTTGTTCCTGTTGCAGATTGTGTCGGCGGTGCAGTACTGCCACCAGAAGCACATCGTCCACCGAGACCTCAAGGTGAGCACACCCAGCCGATAACCTCCCCAAAAGTTGAGCAACCATTTTTTTTTTTTGCCACGAACCATCTGCAAACCCTGATCCTCATCAGCGGGGTTAAAATGAGCAAAATGTCTCCGCCGGTCGGAAAATGTCCGAGTGAAACCCGCAAAGTTTTGCCTTTGAAGGAGGGGCAAAATATTAGGAACAGCCCTGCGGATGATGCGGCGCACTGGTCGACGAGAATGTTGTGACACCCCCCCCCCCCCAAAGTGGCCTTCCCTCCGTTTGCCGTCTTCAGGCGGAGAACCTGCTGCTGGACGCCGACATGAACATCAAGATCGCCGACTTCGGCTTCAGCAACGAGTTCACGCTGGGCAACAAGCTGGACACCTTCTGCGGCTCGCCGCCGTACGCCGCGCCCGAACTCTTCCAGGGCAAAAAGTACGACGGGCCCGAGGTGGACGTCTGGAGCCTGGGCGTCATCCTCTACACGCTCGTCAGCGGCTCGCTGCCCTTCGACGGGCAGAATCTGAAGGTGAGACGCGAGCGGCGCGCCGGCGGGCGCCACGGCGGCGGCAAACGGCACTGACTTTCCCCGCCGACCTCCGCAGGAGCTCCGCGAGCGCGTGCTGCGAGGGAAGTACCGCATCCCCTTCTATATGTCCACCGACTGCGAGAACCTCCTCAAGCGCTTCCTGGTGCTCAACCCGGCCAAACGCGGTACTCTCGAGGTGAGGGAGGACACCCGCAACCCAAATAGGCCGCCGCGCTTTCTTTCCGCCCGAGGATGTCGTCTGCGGCCCCGCCCCCCCACGCGCGCTACCCCGACTCCCGATCCCAAGCTCCCAATTCTTTCCCGATGTCCGCAACGTCGTCTTGTCTTGTTTTGCGTCCGCGTAGTCGGAATCCAATGAGGAAAAATGTCACGTTTGAGAAACGGGTTCTGATAAGCTGCGTTCACTATTCATCAAATGAAAACCTTACCCCCCCCCCCCTTAAATTTTGACTTTGTTTGATATGTCAGGATTTTTCTTTTCATCCCAAATCAAACTTTATTGGGATAAAATAATTTTGGGGGTTTTATTTTGTTCAATTTTCTGTTGAACCGCGATTGTCAGAAATACATTTGTGCAATAATACAAACTTTGTACACTTGAATTTCCATATTACTCCTTAAAAAAAAAAAAAAAAAAGTACGGTTGGCTGTATTTTCCAAAATTCAATAGATACCGTATTGTGACTGTCTACATTTTTTTTTTTTTTACCTACATTTTGGTGTGTGTCCCAGATATTTGGAACATGTTGAAGAAAGGAATGAAACATTTTTCAACTAGCCATGACACCAAAAAGCACTGAAATATAATTTTTTTTATGGCATTTATGTGATTCGGTTTAATGATGATTTGAGAACAAGATTTATTTTTTATTTTTTTCCTTTTCCTCCTACTGATAAATGTAAGAGCCCCGCGTGCGGTCCTGACCGGCGTGTGGCGGTCGCGCAGCAGGCCGTAACGCGGTTCGCTCCGCGTCCGAGCAGGATCGATGATCATTAGTTGTCCTGCTGGCTGATTAAAAAAAATCTCCCCGAGACATTGATCTCATCGGCGGGACGCCAAAACAAACAACGTGGACCTCAACTGGTCGGGGACACATTTGGAATTGGATGTCAACCGCCGAAATCTAAAAACGATTTTGACTCTTTGTTTGATGCAGCAAATCATGAAGGATCGATGGATCAATGCCGGATTCGAAGACGACGAGCTGAAGCCTTACGTCGAGCCCGAGCTGGACATCACTGATCAGAAGAGAATAGGTAACCCAAAAAAAAAAAAAAAAAAAAACGTCTTTTTTGTCTACTCAACGATAGACAAGTCTACCAAATGTCATATTGCCAAATGGAACTGGCAAGATTTTGGCGAGCCAAACTAAAATGTGTGACGTGGTGTGCCATTGGGTGAATTTTTTTTTTTTTTATTTTGCCGGTCGAGTCTTGATTCACTTCGCAACATGAAATCTGGTCGGCATGTCTAACTCCTGGGACTGAATTTTCCCCAAATCCTAGCGTGCGCTAACGAACCAATGGGAAGACAAGCAAAATAGCAGACTTGCTGTTTCTTTTCCAGTGAGACTTTTTTTTGTGGATCGGCTCATGATAGACATGGCGACCAAATTTGGTCTAAAACTGACCTTGGGCGCTTTAGTCACAAAAGACTCTGCCAGTAGTCTGTCTTTGAGGAGCTCCCCCGGGGGAGGGTTGCATTTTGATGACCTGAAAAATTCCAAATTTTACAACGCGCTGGACCACCTTATCCCAAGAACACAATCTCCGCCGTGGCTTTTGATGATTTTGTGCAAAGGAGACAAAAAGCCGCTGCAATTTGTGCGCAGATGTGATGGTGGGCATGGGCTACAACCTGGACGAGATCCAGGAGTCTCTGGCCAAGATGAAGTACGACGAGATCACCGCCACCTACCTGCTGCTGGGCAGGAAGGCCTCCGAGGTAAGCGCCCCCGCACCCGTCCGTCTCGAGCCGGCCTTTCTTGACCTCCAATACCC